TATATATAGGCCAGTAAATAACGGCCCAATGGAATTCTTTAAATTTAAAAGGAAAAAAAGAAAGAAAAAAAAACCAACCGGACCGAAGACAAGAGGGGCCCACTATTAATGGGCCTGTACTAGCCGTTGGGAGAGAGAGGAAGGGCCCACGAAGGGAATCAAACAAAAGAACGGTATAATATGTAGATTTAAACAGAGTGTAAGAAGCCCATGAGTTAAAATTAGGTGCGGCATGTGAACACCGATAAAGAAGGTGCGAAAAAGCCACGTCAGCTAAATCGGGGGATTATTGACGCGCTTTAAGATCCAATAATTTGGTTATGAGGGAGATTTGATTGGGCAGTGGATGGAACTGGATACAGCTGGATGATTGAGAGTGGGGCCCTTTCCATTTTCGACAATCCAATAACAGTTGGCCACGTGAACTGTCGCGGCAATTATTGCGGCGAAATTTAGCCTTGAAATCTTTTGTCCCACTCCCCACCGCTTGAAAAGCCGTGCCTTACTACTAAAATTTTCAATTTCAAAAGAGAAAGTAAAAAAAAAACTATATTTCTATTCTTCATTATTTATATATAAATATAGTATATATGTGCGTATCCGATGGCCTTATTTTCCAAGTATGGAAGATCCCCCTACCATACAATAAAGTCTATATATTTTTATTAATGCTTGTGAATATCTATTTTATATAAAAATAACATATTAAAAAAGTAATGTGACAGATGTTAATTAACGTTGAGCTATACTCACTTTAATATATATCTTCATTCGATCCCTCGCTCCATATATTGTAATAAAAAAAAATAATGTGACATATTAAAAACATTTAATACTACATTTTAAAAACAACGAGATATAGTTTAACTATTTTTATAAACACTAACGTGAACATAATTTTTTAACATTCTAAAAGAACAAATAATAATAATAAATTACATAAACATAGCTTAACGGTTAATGTATCTATTTCTTTCTTGGAGTTTAAATATATTCCATATTTATTATACTAATAAAAGAAATATTAAATTCATAAAAAGATAAAAAAATAGATTTTTTTTTTCTATTTATGAGAACCTTAAAAAATAACTTTAAAAAACATTTAAAAGGTAGTTAACTGGTTAAGTGTATTTTCTCTTAACTATCGTTCTTAAAAACGTTAACTAATTTTTCAAAATGTGTACCAAACAGCTCCAAAATTCATAGTTATTAATTAATTTCATCTATCTCATAAAAGTCACAAATGCCCTTTCTCGCGTACTTGGTTGGAGCCTGTTTTTTCCCCATAATTTATACTTTTTGTGTTAAATGAGTATTTAAATTTATGCTCGAGTCTTGTCCAGTCCATCTTATTTGCTTGTCCAAGAGAGAGAGAGAAAAATAAAGCTGTCATTTTATTTTAAAGAAATTTATTCTAAAAGCAAATAGTGTATCTTGGTTTTTCTTTTGCATCAAGTGATCTATTTTTCTTTTGTATTTTTTTTTTCCTATTATTTTGCATCTTGTGCTTTTGCTTTTGACGCGATATTATAGTGAGCATAATATTTTTGTTGATTTCTGTATATAGCCTTGTTATTTCACAATAAACATTTCTAGCTAAAATCACTCTATAATTGTCAATAATTATTTGTTTGAAAATATTTGTCAATAATTATATTAAATCATACTTGTAATATATTTGTTATGATTATATAATAGAATTCAATAATTGTTGATAATTATCAAAACATACAATTAATAATTACACCTATATACACGTCATACTAAAATATTTATTTATATATTTATGTGATTCTTAACCTAAGAAAGGTGATTATGTAAAAATTTTACACTTTACTCACAAGATAGAATGCTTTATATATACCCTGTTTATTATAACTCGATATTATTGTTGAATGATATTTAATTCTTAATTATTTATTTTGGAAAACTATGGCTTAATATTTATTGGATTATTAATGATAATTTATAAAATAAAAATTATAATATTTCCATGTGTATTACTATATTTCAAATTCATATTTTTTTATCACATGTAAAGGTGAAATTTCGAACTCACAGTATTTTGATTCGAGATAAGTGTTTTAACTTACTTAATTATACTTGGGTTGACGCATCAAATTATTATTTGCACACGCTCGAAAGTTATTATAAAAATCTAATCAAATGTTGACAGACTTGATTCATTTCCTTTTCTCTCTCTAGCTTATTTTATGATAAATTTATTAGTTTATTAGTTTTAATTTTAATTTAATTACTATTATTATCTTGCGTATGGCTCCTCACTTTGGCGTTTTATTGGGGGTAGGGACTGTAGTGTAGCCTTTGTCTGTTGTGAAAACCGAAAACTCGTCCTAAATTATCTTATAATTGGAACACATTTCCACTTCAGTCACGTGCCTCCAGGACATTTCTAATAATTATAATGTTGTTTAAAAAATTTATATTTTCACAGTTTATTTTAAAAAGTACGACCATCAAAAAGAAAAAAGATTCTGTTACAAACATGTCAGTTCCTCTAGAAAATAATATGATTTAAGAAAAACTAGTATAATATTTCTAAATTTATTTATCAATGATCTCATACCAAATTATTTACAAAAATTAAGTAAAATTTCATACTACTTTATTGTTTTAAATGTTAAACTAACCTAGAATTTGAGCAGGACTTCAATTGGTCCATATAATTTAAAAAGTTTCAATTTAATATATACAAATTAAGTGATTTCAATTTTGTCCATCTAATTTTAGAGTTTCAACTTACACTCTAGGATTTTTGTTAAAATTTTAGAAATCAACTCTAAACTATATTTTACTCACAAATTCACCAATTTTCTTTCATTTGTTTACTTAATGTTAAATTGTAACCAGTTGATACACTAATTCAATGTGACGTAAATGGAAAACATGTCACGTATTTGATATTAGTAACATTTTGGCAATCAAGATTATGAGATTTAAGAAAATTATAAGGACTATTTGAACGTCTAAAATCATTGTCACCAAATTGAAAATGAAAAGAAACTCAAAGACCAAATTTATAATTTAACCGAAAGAAAAAATAATAATAAAGGGCCAACAAAATTATCCTAAGGATTTGTATATGAATACATATGCCAACGGTAGAAATATCATTTTACTTTCAACTTAAAGATTTCATTTATTTATGAAATTGTGAAGAAGTACAAATAAAAAAAAGGGAAAAATGAATAATCAAACGCCTAATTAAACAAATTAAACAATCATGGTTTGCAATTTACATGATTCATTTGCCAGTTTACCTACTTGCGTTATTTGTTTTCAAGGACATGGAGCTATATTACGTAATTATGTTGATGTGCACCAATTTGAACTACATTTGGGCCTTAAATGGACTGGATCAATTGAAGTCCATACAGAACATCGGCCCATGAAATGACAAACCAATGGACATGACAGAGGGTATAATTTTGGCCCATTTCTTATTTTAGGATTTAAAGTCCTATTAAAAGAAGAATTGAAGTACCTCAGTTTTGAAATTTGAAAAAGGCTGAATGAAAGAAATAAATAGTAATTAAAGCCAAGAACACCTGAATCCTATGATACCCAAAAACTTCCCATTAAAAGAGGAACAAAGGAAAGATAGATAGATGGAATTGGAAGCTGCTGCCATTTAGGGGTATGTACAGCCCTCTATCTCTGATAAATTGATAATTTAAGACCAATTATTTTGTTTTTATAAATTATGGTTGTTGACAAATAATTTATTTTTTAAAAATGTTTTGATAATAAGGGGTTAGTTAACCATGTTCTCGTTCCTTGTTTCTTTTTTTTTTTAATAAATAAAAATATAGCTGCATTTTATATCCGTTCTATTTCTATTTTTTTTTGAAAAAAAAAATAAAAAACAGGTTTGATAATCATTTATCGTTTTTTTTCTCTAAAATTGTAAATTAAAAAATAAATTTTATGTGAAATTTATTTTTTAGATTAAATATTCGAATTTTTTTGTTATATTTATTTTTTAATGCTTATTGTGCATGGTATAGATGAACATTTTACTTATGTTTTTTAACAAATTAGAAAAAAAAAACATAAACAAAAGTGTCGTCTATTAACGTTTCCATTTCTTATTTCTGACACAGTGAAAAAAGGTTTAGGTATATAATTGGAGCAGCATGCTAATGGCAAGGTTACTGATGAAGTAATTTTTCTCATGATTATAAATTTAAGGCTTAAAAGGTGGGGGGAGCCGCATTTTCTTGAGACCCAACCTCGTTGTACTTGTCAAACCCTATCCCTTCACCTGTTAAGAGTGCTACTTTTAAGTTAACTAAAATAATTTTTTTGTAAGTATTTAAAAATAACTAATTATTAATTAGATTGATTGTTTTTCCAAATTTTTTCTAGTCATTTTTAACTGCATAACCATATTTACAATTGGTTAAAATTACTTTTCATCCTTGAAAAAGTCATAACAAACTTGTTTTCATTTTCTACTTAAAATTTCAATTGGGTTCATTATAACAGTTTTAATTTCTTCTACAAGTTTTTCCCTTGTTCTGAACTAATTAATTATTTCTTACTTCTTTTTTTTTTTTTTACAAGGGCTGTAAGATCCATGTTCTGTTCTCTCAAATCTTATACAAAATCAAGTTGCAATATAATATTCTTTCTTCTTCTTTTTAATGCCTTTTCAGTTTTCCACGTTCTGTTGATCATTGCATAGTACATGAGCCAAATTCAAATCTTCTAGAATTTGCTTTTTTCTTTTTAACCTAATAGTTGTGCCAACCATGTGGAAAATGAGGCTACTGAAATTAGATGATCCAAATTTTGTATTAGCTACATCATAATACAGACTTTTAAAGAAAACTTCCAACCGTTTTATAGTAGCAATGGGTATCAAGAAGTTCATCCAAACATCATCCATCAACCGGATTTAGTTTTATCTTTGCTTTTATATTCTTATAACCATTTGAACTTCTTTGATACTAATTTTTTATAAAGTAGAGATCAATGGATACCTAACCAATTTGGAAAATGACAACGATAAACACATGATTGAATGTGTAACCTAAATTATTAATTTAAATTTGAAAACAGATATTTGTGTCGTCATATATATATATACACACACATATATGTATATATATTTTTTGTATATATATAAAAATAAAAATAAAACTTAGACCCTTTATAACTATATAGTTAGATAGCTCAAATCTAATATTGTTCTCTCGAAACCATTACTTAACCTCAACGTTTCACTATCGGAACCTATTATGCCTATATGTAAGGTTTAGATGGTGACATCACTCCCACGGTATGCACTAGTGTCCATGGTTGTGACAAGTACTTAGTTTTCTACCCTTTCAATATCGATTTTGAATATTAACAGCGATATAACATATCAAAAGACCCATATGTATCAAAAATCAAAGGAGGCCAATCAAATGCCAGAACTATCAAGGTAAGATGAAATTGAATGACCAAAACACAAAAAGATAAATGGATTATGCTTAAAAGACACTGCAAATCTTCAGTTGGGGATTCAGTGAGCTGACAAAACAGCAAGAATGTTCCAACTTTTTGGACTCTCATTAAAGTTTGTTTCTGAATTTTCAGCCAATAACCTGGACCACCCTCTCTCTCGCTTTCTTTAAAACCGATCCCATTTTCGTACGCAGGTTTTTGGAGCGACAGCGAGAGCTTCTTCAACCCTTCATCATGAAAGCTCCACGCCACAAGAAAATGGCGGAAAAGGCTAAGAAAGATAACCCCATCAAGCAGATTCATTGCGCCGTCCCTTTTTGCTTCTTCTGTACGATGAACGAACCAGACCCATTACTCAGAACGTTCAAAATCACCGAATGCTTCAAAGAAATGCCTCGGAGAGAGGATCAGGAGTACGTACTCGCACTGAGTGGACTCTGGAGCATCGCCAAGACCCGACCCGATAACCCGGAATTTCCCGAGCTTGGTATCTTCGAGTGTATGGGAAAGCTTATTTGTAGAGGAATCGATGATAGGGAATGGTTGTTTAGAGACCAGAATGTTTATATTCCTTACTATGCAGCCCATATTATAGGTTCTTACGCCATGAATAAAGCTGAGTTTGCGGAAATTGCTGTCGAATCTGGAGTGATTCCGCCATTAATGGAGCTATTGAGGGGAAAAATCAGCTGGGTCGAGAAGAGAGTGGCAGTTCGAGCTCTGGGTCATTTGGCAAGCCATGACACGACCTTCGAATCAGTTGCAGAAATTGGAACTGAGGTCGTGGAATTGGCCATGGAAATTGCATCCAAAATCGCCGAAAATGTTTATACGCAATTCCTCTGTCTAAAACAGAGGAGGAAATATCAACGCAATTTGCTTACGAGAGGCCTAGGAGGGGTCGAAATTGAGAACAGAAAGGCAGAGGAATGGACCATTCAAACCCAGTGCTGGTCTCTTTATCTTCTCGATTGTTTCGCTCGCAGAGAGAGACATCTGAGTTTAATCTGTAAGAAGAATTTCTTGAAGATTTTATGTCAAATTTGGGGTGGATTGGCAAACCCAGAAGCACCAGCTGGAATTGGGCTTCTGAGGACTCTGTGTAGAACAGAGATTGGAAGAAAAAGCGTGACGGATTTGGAAGAAGTCATAAAATCTCTATGTGTTCTCGCTAGATCATCCTCAGATGAATGGCAGATTACGGCCATTGAATGTATTTTGAGTCTGATCAAAGACCCACTAACCAGAAACAGAGTTCTCGAATCCTCTGTTTTTTCTCTTATCGATTTGGTAGAGCTAGAAATCGGCGGTGACCAAAAGAAGCAAAAATTGGGAGACTCTGTAACACGAGAATTGCTGAAAGATTACCATAAAATCAAGTACGGAAATGAGAAGCTGTACAGCGAAACAGCCGAGAGAGCATTAGGGGAAATTTGGGAGTTGAAAGTCGAGAAGAAGAGGAGGGAGAAATTGATGTCCGAAAAAGAGGTGAGAAAGAGAAAACTCTTGGTGGGAATTCTCACAAAACAGGGGAATCACAGATTCAGGGGCGGAGTGATAGAAAAAGCTGTGGTGAAATACTCCGAAGCTTTGGAAATGTGCGTACCCAAGATGATAAAACAGAGGCTTGTCCTCCATAGCAACAGAGCTCAATGTTTTCTGCTGCTGAGAGACCCAGAAGCCGCCATTAGCGACACGACTCGAGCTCTATGCTTGTCGAAACAGGGGAGCCCTCACAGTAGAAGCCTGTGGAGAAGATCACAGGCTTATGATATGATGGGACTGGCTAAAGAGAGCTTAATTGACTGCTTGCTTTTTGTCAGCTGCCAAATCAAGTTGAAGGAGAAGATCCCGTACTATGCTGCGAGGATGATGAACAAGCAGATGAATGCTACGTGGGTATTTGCTTCTGTGGAATCAAGAACATTTAACAGAGATGAAGAGCTTGTTCGAGAATCGCCAATGACGGAATTTGAAGGCGGGAAGATCTTGATGATGAAGATGAAGCAGAAGGATGGCCATGCCACTGTGTTTCCTTAATGTAGTGGATGTAATAGTTCTTAGCAGATGGTACATATTAATGGAGGCCAAAGTTGAACAGATCAAGAGATCTCTTTGGTATTTTGAAACCCATGTAATTAATTTGATTTGGGTATGTTTGATTCTAAATTTTCTTGATTTCCACATTGTTTTTGTGTTCTAAGTTTCTCTCGGTACATCCGGATATTTTTTTTTTTAATAAATATCTTGGCAAAAGAAGTGGAGATTTGATATCTAGGGCAAACCGACATGTCGAGGCTGTTGGCGAGTCGGTGACATTCTTACTTTCTATTTATTATTTTTCGTTCCTATTTCATTTTCAAAATTGTATACAAATCTGACAAACAAAATTCGATCACCCATCAATATACCATGTACTTTTAATTTTAATTGTTTTTTTTTGACATATGTACTTCAAATTTTGATATGTAGACTGTTGTAGTCTGTATTGATTTCGAATGTTGTACTTTTATAAATTTAAAATGTAAAGTACTATTTTATTATTCCATTATTGTACTTCCCTCTTAAATAAAAGTAGATTCTAGATTTGTTTTCTAAATGTGCATCTAAAATTCAATTTTAGATTGGATAACTGAGTTCATTGAATCAAATATCAATTTTCTATTTTTCAAGAAAAATTTATTCTGAAACAAAGTGATTCCTATTTATTTATTATAAAAAAAGCTTCCGCAAGTCTTGCCAGAATTTTTATAACAAAATATAACTTGGAAACCATCTTATTGAAAAAGATTTAAACCAAATGAAACTACTGGGCCGTAATACGTATCATGCTGTAAAAATCACAAGTTGGTTAAAGTTGCAATATGCCTATTTGCATATATAATATTGCTTTAAGCTATTAACAGATGGGGCTGAATGAAGACAAAAGCCTACCAAAATCTTTCGACACCATAATCAGATTTCAAATCCTACCTAACTTCAAACACTTTATTTCAATTTTACATAAAAACAAGTTTTTTAGGTAGGGCGTATCCAACAAAACCAATATAAAATTACCATTAATAATCTAATCAGTGAACGCCAGCAATGTCAATATCTTGTAATTAACAAAAATGTGACCTAAAGGGGCTATGGACTTTATAGCCCACTCTAATTATAAAAAATATATATTGTAAAGCCTTTTCTGAAAGTATTAAATTCAAATAGAAATCATGTTTATGATAACAAGGTACCATTGATATGACACTACCTTGCAATTGATATTATGCTATTAGACCATCTAAATGAATGCTAGGACAAGTATTACATACCAAAATAACCTTTTTTCCATAATTTTTTTGATCCTTAAAAAAAAAAAGAACTTTTGTAGTTCATATGGAATAAGAAAGAACCACAATTTTTTAAAATAAGAGTTGATATTAGTCACAAGGACACTCGAGCCCATCCCAAGGTCCGAACTTGAGAGATATCAAAGACTTTTTTGTATTCAGCTCACCTAAAGGTTCGAATTCGAGACCTCTAAGCTGGTACGACTAAGAGATCCCAAGTTTCTTGCCAACCATGCTGCCTCTGGAGGAATTAGGAATTTGAGTATTGAAAAGCAAACAAGTTCAAGATGATGTCCCAGAGAATATGCCGCACGGTATCATAGACATGAAAACTTGCATGGAGATCATATGCACAATATGAAAGAAATTAGACCTTGGCATGAGTTGCATATGAACAGTGTGATTCAAATGAAAACTCAGATCAAAACCAACACAGAATTGGAGTATATGGCAAGATCCCACTTGAAAGTGGATTGTAGTGTGTGCAAGGCAATTATAATTCCCACTTAGTTGAAAAAATATCCATTGAACAAATGAACTGTGACACAACTCTACAAATAATAAGGTAGAGTTTAGAAGACTTGTCGAAATTTCAAAGTACATAAGTGTTCGTGCTCATTTAAAGTCTTAAATAACTACCATTCACAAACTAGAAGTGGATTACTCCAAGGTCAATAAAATCAACATTTGAAGGAGATGGTCATGGAAAAAAAAAACTATCTAATCCTATCCCAGATATGCAATGAGAGTGTGGTGTGATATTAATTCTGAGAAAGTGTGACATGCAAAAAAAGATACACATGTTTGTCAAGAGATTACCATAAAAAATTTATAACCTCTTAAGTCGTTATGGTATACTATATTTTCAAATGTAAAGGTATGCTTATCCATTCACTTGAGGGAACATGAAATATTCTTCATTTATTGAGGATGTCATGCCGGTTAAAGTATTTTAACCCCTATAAAATTATATATATTTTTTCAAAACCCAAGCTTTCAACATTTAGGGAAATGAGGAAAAAAAAAAAAAAAGAACGACCAGAGTTTGCTAATGTCCATACCTGTAAATTTCTGCCAAGCATTTGACAAGCAAACACCAGAATCATGAAGGACCTAAACAGGATGCTCATACATAAATTCAGCTGGAAATTTTATTATCAATAGAAAATTTTAAGTTAATATAATGAATTTTACATAGAAAAATGAAGGGAAACTTAGAGAGAGTGAGAGAGAGTTCAGAATGTTATACTGCTGTATGGGTTTAATGGCAAAGTTTGAGTGTGTGATTTCAGTTTTAGCAACAGATGCCTGTGCGACTTTGTGAGCCATATGTCCACCTGACTGATGCAGATGGCACGTTTGATTAAAATCCAAAAGAAATGAGTCTAAATTACAAAATCATATCAGTTTTCCTGCATCAGCGTCAAATATTGTCACAAATCTTACAATACTGAATACTATTTGATTTCCCCAGTCAGAATAGATGCATTTATAAAAAGGTTGCAATTCTTCATAGTTGAAACATTTCAAACAAACATATCCAAGCAGGCTAACAGATTCCTTCAGCTTTCAGAAGACAGGAACAAAGGGGGCAGCCTAAGAAGAACACGTATTGTTTTTCCTACAGCCCCACCTCAAAAAAATAATAATAAAAAATAAAATAAAAGTAAACAGAAACAAGAACAATAATAGCAGCACTAAATAATGACTAATTGGCTTCCATTAATTAACTTATCGGTTTATTTTAGTTTTTTTTGAGGTGATCATCTGAACAATATTGTTTCTTACATAGGCCACTGTAATCCTAGATTCCTAACTAAATCATTGTACCATTGTTGTATACGGCCATTACAAGTAAATTTTGCATATAACACCTGACGAAAAATTAGCACAACCTGCAGATGTATTCTAACTGACCTTGATTAAAATTTGAGGAGCTCAATCATCATAAGAGCTCAAAGCAGCAACAACTGACCCCGTTGTTGTAAAAGTTGATGCCACATCTGGATAATCTTTCCATGATGTTGTCATCTTGAGAGATGGGTACAACCAACTCTTCACAGAATCAACAAAAGAATTCGAATCGAAGTTCAACATGGCTTCCCAATCCACTTGCACTCCTCGTGGAATGTTCCCACAGAACTCCATGTTAGCTGCAAGCAGCAATCCAAGCAAAACAACAAATCCAACAGCCGCGGAGCCCCTTGATAGTGGCATAAAATTGTACCTAAAATGCAGTTGTGTTTTTTAGAATCCTGCTGAATTGACAATCGAACTACTACCATGGGTACAGAAATATTATACCAGTAGTAGCTCATCCTTAGAATTGCATCCCTCACACTTTCTAGAGTACTAAAATCCATAGATCCATAGTTTTCTCCGCAATAAGCATTGCATATGCTCTGAAAAATCCAGTCATGAGAATATTATACTTTAATTCATTATTGAACGAAAAAAACATTGGCTTCCAACATGTAATAGTTGCGCACTAGTCTAGCTAGATAGAAAATAGAGTTAAAAATTTGAAGACCCAGATGAAATAATAAATTCAATTCCAATGCATTGATATGTTACGTGTTCTCTCACAAATTTCTACGCAAGAGAATTGTGGTTAAAATGTGATGCCATACAAGGAAGTGGAATCACCATGTTGTTGTTCCCTAATAAAAGTTCATGCACACGTGTCACTGAAGTCACTGCATGTTAACAACATCATTAAAACTCTCTTTTTTTCTTTGGGATAAGAGACACTATATGTATTGATATCATCAAAAGGGAGAACCTAAGGGCAGAGGGAGGGTTGAGATCACCCTCCCCTAAAACTAGACAATAGCAGCCTTCCACAACTCACAACAATCAAGTGTAGACTATAGTACAAAAGAATTTTTTGTGGTTGGACGTCCACCACGAAGCAATATGTTGTACATTGCTACACAACATCATTATAACTCTAAGATAGTTCTACTTGAAAAAGGAAAAATTATTTGCTCTCTCTTCTGATAGGCCACGAAATGTGTACTAGCCAAAACGGCTCAGAGGAGGGGGAACTTAGATTGTGGGCAAGATTGTGACTTAGCACGAGGCCCTACTTGTAACTGATTTAATGACGTAGTCAAATGGGAATATCATGAAGGGTTAGAGTATTTAGCTTGACAGAGCTGATGAGAGAGGGTATCCGGTTGGTCTGCATAGTCTGGTATTTTGAGAGTAGGGAGCTCTCAAATCAAAATCATCCCTTGGCTTGTATCTTTGCTAATAAATAATATATCGAGCTCTATCATTCTCTTACAATAAGTTTGCCAATTTAAGGGGACTAACTGGTTAACGTGATATTTTTATGCCCGTCTTGTTCAGGGCTGTCTTTTTTTGTATGCCCGTCTTGTTCTTTTTGTATCTATTTTCATTATCCTCAATGAAATCGTTGTTTCTTATCAAAAGAAGAAAAAAATAAAAAATAAAAAACTGGTTAACGTGATATTAGACCCTGGAAAGTAGAATTCAGATAATATCACCAAAGAAAATGTTTACTCGTTGAAGATGGGGGCAAGCATGTGTTTTCGAGGTTAACATTAAAAAAAGGGGGAAATGTCAAGGTCTTCGACTCACCTTGTTAGTAGAGAGAGAATGTACAATTATGAGGAATGTCAGGGAAGGAGACTGTAGGCGATCTTTTGGTGGAGTTAAAGGTGGTCGCATGAGCCCTTGGCTTGTGGGAGACGTGAAAGAATTTATTTTGCTTTATATTTCTCTAGGGGAATTGAATTTTACCAAAGTGGTATCAGAGTAGGAAGGAGATGGCTTAGGGAAAAACGGAGAATAGGAGGGATTGGAGAAGGAATTGGAAGAGATGA